CCGGCCAGAGGGAAGGCGAGGTGGCCCTGGACAGTCTCCTAGGCAGCCAGGGCTTGTCCAGCTGAGCATTCAACCACAAACATGACACCGTTTGATCTGTTTTCAGGAAGAGTCAGCCACCAGGGTGAAAGTGGGAGAGGACGCACATCATGGTGGTGGTGAAAGCCAGGCTGCCCTCGTAGGGGATAAAATCCACCCCACGCGACCCTCCCCAGGCACTGACTGAAAGCAGGTCAGCTGAGAAACAGCCACCCTTACCTCAAAGGAGTAGCCCTCCACCAGCGGGATATCTTGCTCATCTATCAGTGTGTACTTGGTCTGGAAATTAATCATGTTTCAACATGTTACGTTCAGGGTCACAGTCAAGTATCAGCCTTAGACAGAAACTGGCCCTTCCCGCTGTGGAGCAGGTGAGGGGCACGAAGCAGTCTACCCCCTACAGCAGATAGTTGTTTCCCACTGGAGACTGTAGCAGAGGAGCAGACATCAGGCCTCCCTTCCCATCCACATGTGCGAGAACCCAGGGCCACTGAGCTGGCTGACCTCTATCTAGGCTGTGTGTCTGAGCGCGCCAGTAAGCCAAACCCGAGAGGGAGGCTTGCTCAGAACAGAGGAAGGGGCCCTGGATGGAGGCAGAACGTCCAGAAGCCTTCCGTGAACGTGTTTATTAAGTGGGCGGCGGTACCCCCGAGCTGCTGCTCGCTTAGCTTGCTCACGGAAACATTCCGAGTGAATGGAAGGCAGGACGCTAGCTCGCCCGGTCCCTGAGTTAGAGGGATCGCAGAGCTGCGGGGAGCCCCCCTTCCCTAGGTAAAGTGCCACGTTCCTCTTGCAGGAAACGCAGGAAACGTCCCCCAAACGGACTAGTCGCATTCTTGCTCGGAAAGCCTTTTTCTAAGATCTAAGCCAGTTTTACCTTCTTCTGACTGCCTCTGCTCCTCTCTCCCACCAGAAGCTTCCGCCGCTGGTGATGGGAACAGGGTTCCCATCCAGGGTAAGGTCCGTGGCTGGTGCAGCTGCACGGCCTGCCGGCTCCTGGAAACAGCCAAGCCTCAATGCCCACAGGTGCCAGGAAGCCCCGGCCTCGACCACGCGGAGGGCGGGGCCCGGTAAGGGAGAGAAGCAGAGGGAGGCCCTGCTCTGGGAGGCCCACCGAGGCCCGTCCAGCCCCGGCCACCGCGGGCGGCGTGAACCCTGCGCGAAGCTCCACTGCGGACGGCCAGGCACCGAGACGCACGCAGGCCGCCTCGCCAACGAGCGAGCGGGCCTCGGAAGGGCGCCGCGCTGCCCGCGGCCGCCAGCCCCATCCTGGCCCGCGAAGACCCGCCGCCGCCGCCCGCCCGGCCCCGCGCCCCCGCTCCCCCGCTCCCGCGCCGCTCACCTTCCCGGCCACCCGGCCGAGCCGCACGATGCCCAATTTGAAGTCGGTCATGGCCGGGCCTGCGCTCGGCCGGCGGCGCCGCTCCCTCGGGAGGCGCCGGGCCGGGACCGGGGCCGGGCCGGGGCGGCGCCGCGGCGCGCCGGGTGGGCCGGGCCGGCGGGCCGGGGTCGGGGCCAGGCGGGACG